GANTCAAACACACACACACACACACACACACACACACACACACACACACACACACACACACACACACACACACACACACACACACACACACAAACACACACATACACATACACACACACGCATACATCAATGAATACTCGAGAATAGCATGTCAAAAGCGCCAGGGCAATAACAATTTCACTATGCTAATCATTATTATATAGCTAATAATTTTTAAGTAATTAAAATAAATTTAAAAACCTAAATGGTCCGATTTCTCAACTTTTTCACAAATGCAGCGCCTGTCGCTACTGCGGCAGCTTCTGTCTTGTCGGTGGTCATCAGCGCATGGTATACATTCAGCTGGTTTGTTTTTCTCTTTGCAGACCCCTGCTTCTGTTCCTATTGAAATGAAATGTAAAAGTTTGAAAATTTTGATGTTAATCAACGGAAAAAAAATATTTTTGATAAATTTTTTATTGATAAAACCTTGTAGATATATTGGTTTATGAGGAGTTTATGTAAATGTGCTTAATAATAATAATAGTAGTAGTAGTAGTAGTAGTAGTAGTAGTAGTAGTAGTAGTAATAGTAGTGGTAGTAGTAGTATTAGCCAGTGGCAGATTTAAGGGGAAGCGGGGGCAGTTATGAAAAATAAACAACTATTTTGTTGCAACTTTTTGAGAACGTAGCCTACCTGTATTGGTTAATTACTATGGTTACATAAGCCACAAAAACATCGTTTTAAATGTGAAATGAGCAAAAAAGCACAGCAAAAAATGATTGCCAGCTAATTTAGGCCAAAAATTTCAAATTTTTAATCTTCCTCGTCAAATTTTCCCCCCTTCCTCTGCGTCAAAGTTTTCTAGATCCGCTCTAGGCAGTAACTATAACAATAACAACAGATATAGTACCAAAGCTGCTTACATGTTATTCTAATTATATTAAATTGTTATTTTGTAAGCTTTCGTGCCACAAAGGTTCCACTACCCACACCACCCGACACGACGCACATACACATTACGTTTGCACGCGCAATCATCCTATCATACGCGTGTGATGGTTTTCGGACAGACGGTATTCGAACTGTGCCATTGCGTGATAGCAGCGCGAGACATGGCACTCATGATGACTGAGCTAAATCGGTGACCATTTGTCGAGTACAGTAAATAATTATAGCAGTACGAGTGATATTAGTATAAATAACAGTATTAGTAGTAGTAACAGTTATATTAGTAGAAGTAATAGTCGTCGTAGTATTAATAGTAGTGGTGGGGAGAGTAGTAGTAGTAGTAGCAGCAGCAGTAGTAGTAGTTGTAAAAAATAATAGTTATGATTATTAAACTTAAAAAAAATCACAGGTAGCAGGATTGCAATACTTAAAGAAGTAACTTACTGATGGTGATAACGAATTAATCAGCAAGTGTTGAGATAAAAAATATTAATAATGATGTTGTTTAATGTTGTTTAATATATTTAATGTTGTTGTTGTTGATAGGAAATGTTATTAATGTTGTTGTTGTTGACAGGAAGTATTATTAATGTTGTTATTGTTGTTATTGGCATGAAGTGTTGTTAATGTTGTTGTTGTTGTTGACAAGATGTGTTATTAATGTTGTCGTTGTAGGCAGGAAGTGTTAATAATGTTGTTGTTGTTGACAAGATGTGTTATTAATGTTGTTGTTGTTGGCAGGAAGTGTTGTTAATGTTGTTGAGTAGTTTAAACATTCACATTTATAAGCATTGTAAATAATAACAAATACATTAAAATTGCTATAGATATATAGAAATAAAAAAAAGAATGAGAGGAAGAGAGAGAAAGAAAGAGAGAGAAAGAGAGAGAGAGAGAGAGAGAGAGAGAAAGAGAGAGAGAGAAGGATTGTGAAAACTCAAAAAGCAAAAAATTTGAAAAATACCTACCTGCGTAGCAAGTAACTTCCAGGCAACAGGTTTCCTGATTGGAATTGTTGAACCTGTGTAGAACAGTGCCTTTAGAGCAAGTGACCCTTTGGTGCACTTTACTATCACCGCCGTTGAATTGATCAGTAAGGAATAAAAGCAAAAGGATTTTTGAAACTTCTATTTTCATCATTCTATTTTTTTTTCTGGAAACAAATTGTTGGCAAAAATGTTATAATGTGGTTTGCGTTAATATTTATTTATTTATAACAGATACTGATGCAACTGGTTTTAAGTTACAACTAAATGCTATTTTGCTATTTTGTTTTACTTAATTAAAATTAGCAAAGGAGGTCTGAGTGTGACACATATATGGGTTTGTTTGTGTGTGTGTGTGAGAGAGAGAAAGAGAGAAAGCGAGAGAATCAGAGAAAGAGAGAGAGAGAGTGAGCGGTGGTGCAAGATTAATGGTAAATAACCACCCACTAATTATTAAATATTACACTGTGCAACAAAGAATAATAAAACGGAACTGCCAGTAGCACTTCATTATGTATTTTGACATAGAGATTACGAAAATTATATCAGATTTGTTGTGTGACCCTCCAATTTTATGTAAATTTCCCATTTCATATTCTCCATTTACAGCTTTTTCATGGAATTGAACCCATTAGGCCTACACTACATGGCAGGATAATGTTGCTTACGTCTGCAGAATCGTGGCTTGGCTAGGATTTTCTTTATGCCAGCATTCCTTACCAACCGTGATGAAGTGTGTATATATATATATATATATATATATATATATATATATATATATATATATATATATATATACGGTTTGCAGACAGTTGAAATAGTAGTTTTCGTGCGATTAGTAGTTGCGAGGAGTTGTTTTATTATAATTGTAGTTGTTAGCTGTATTGGCACAGAAAATGCCCAGATCTTGTGAAAATCAGGTCGACAATTTTGCTTCATTTGTGGCGAACTAACCTTAAAGAGATGCAGACGAAGATTGACACCAAACGTGAAAAAATTGTATGAGTTATACTTTGGTTGCAAAATCGGCGACCAGAATAAGAACTGGATGCTTCATGTATGCTGTGTGAGGTGTGCTAGTTTGCTATCGCCATGGGCCAACAGGACTGGTGGAGGACCAGCATTTGGGGTGCCAATGGTGTGACGTGAAACTCAAAATTATTGTATAAATTGTTATTTCTGTTTTGTAGTCATTTCAGGTCGAAATTCCAAGGGTAAAAGAGCTATAGTCTACCCAAATCTACCTTCAGCTATTTGTCCTGTTCCTCATTTGACTGAACTCCCTGTTCCTGAACCTCCATTAGAAATTCGTTCTGATTTAGATGAAGATACTGATGATAAAAGTTACGAGTTGTCAGAAGATACAAACGCTGGGTAAAAAGTTTTTTGAAACTATTGATCAATATGAATTGGCAACATGGGATGCATTTATACAGATGTGCCAGGGATTTCTTGGAAAATATAAAACATCGAATTATGCTGATCTAGTAGACGGATTAATTGCATCTTATCAACAATTAGGTTATAATATGTCTTTGAAGGTTCACTTTCTGCATTCCCATCTTTCCTTTTTCTCTACTAATGGAGGTGTATCTGACGAAAATGGTGAGCGTTTTCATCAGACCATTGCTACAATGGAACACAGATACAAAGAAAAGTGGAGTCCTGCCATGCATGCAGATTTCTGCGGGAATTTAAAGCGCGATGAACGTGATGCTGCATACAAACGCCAGACTAAATATAAAATTAAATACAAGTGAACAATTTGTGTTGTAAGTGATAATAAATATTCTCTACATGTTCATACACGTTCCATCATTAAATCGTTATTACAATAAAATGTGACGTGCTACAGCTTAACTGATTATAGATTCAGAATCAGACATCTGGTTTATTTTTTTTTTTTTTATTATTCACAAGCACAAACAAGTAAACATGTACTTGCAGCAGTGCCTTAACTAAAATAGAATACATAAACTGAATAAAATAACTGTGAAACTCATATGTTGACAATATAAACAAAAAGGAAAACAAAGAAAAACTAAAAAATATCAACATCTTTCAAAGTTTACCAAATGAGCAATAAAACAAAATGTACATGTTAGCATAATTTCCCACATATATATTCACACATACATACATATTTATATATATAGAAATTTAAGCTTTATACATAAAGGATCGCAAAGCAGCAAATGCATCTAGGTCATATTGATTATATAATATAGAAGTGAACAGTCAGTTTCTATATCATTTTCATAGTTGATGGAAGAAAGATAAAGTTCAATTTTATTAATATTACTAATTGATAAATTACGTTGAATGGAAAGGGTTTGGTTGACTATAGACAAGTTAGAACAATGTGAAGTCATAAAAATTGGAAAATGGTCGGAGAGATCAGATATAATTACGTCACTATTGAAGGCATCAGAAGTATTCGTAAAAATGTTATCGATCTATGAATTAGAAATGAGAGTGACCCTAGTTGGAGCAACAATTAATGGAACATAGTCATATGACAAAAGCATATTTTGAAATGGTGTAGTGTTTGGCAAATTTAATTTTAAAAAATTTACGTTGAATTCTCCAACAAGATATGTTTGATGATTCTGCCTACATGCGTTGAGGGTAATTTCTAATTTATTCAAGAAAATATTAAAATTTGTATCCTCACACACACAAAAATCCAAATCATTTCTTACAAACATGCCAAAGTTTCTATTTTTAAATATAAACTTATAATTTTCTAATTCAATCAATGGAGCCGACAATTCATTCAACCAAGTTTCACTAATAACTATCAGATTAAATATTTTTTATAAAATTGATTAATTAATATTTGTAAAGTCGTCATCTTGTTGTATAGGCTTCGAGAGTTTATAAGCAAAATGTACAAACATGATGTAAACAAATTAACTCCAGAACTAGCTATATAATCTATTAAACTATTTTCAGTATAATACGGCGTTTGGCTGTACACAAGATTGTTAACGAATTCATCTCGCATCGCCATGTTTCGTGGCAATAGTCCGCAATTGTTTTTCTTCAACTTCTTTTCTGTTTTTTGCCAATGAAAAATCCCATTCACGCAAGAACGAGTACTGGGGTCATATATCTGGTTTGGTTAACTTTGGTGGCTCCTTAATTGGCAAAATTATTTTAAAGCTGTTGACTCGATTGATGCGTTTTGGTCAGTTGCTACATTATCCGTTGTGTTTCTTTTTCGCAAGACAGGGAAGCACTGACTGAAGGCTCTATTGTTAGTTTTCAAATGGTTTTCAATTACGTCCCTGCTGCACGAGCCGACATTGCCCACATAATAAGTAATTTTTTTCTATTTTTGATGCCTTCAATAAGCAGTTGACACCAGTCTTCTTCACTGTCTTTATCTTTAACAATCATAAGACTACCGACAGACTTTTTACTTTTCTTTGCTTTTTGCCCAAACTGAAAACCATCAGAATCTAGTTCATCTTTAGATTCGTTCACGGAATTAGCCGCTAAAACTTTAGTTCTCTCTGCCCATGACTTCATTTGTTAAGTTTGCTTTGAATACGTTGTTTACACTGTTTGCGTTTGCAACGTCTACAAGTGCATTATTAATAGATACGCTTCTTGGTTTGACGTTTGTTGCACAAATTTTTTTTGCGCATTTTTTTCAGTTAGACAGGCATGTTTTGTATCTAAAGCTTCCATCATGGTTGTTTGTTGCATACTAAACACGGCTTTAAATGTCATTTTTAACCATTTGAAAATTTAAATTCAGCCAATTACCAACATTCGAAATTTTTGCTAAATCAGCACTTGTATAAAAAGGAACATTTGTCAAGAAAACCATTAACATTAAATATTTTCAGAAGAGAAATACATTCGGGAATTTTATCCGTTTAGTATTTCCTCGAAATTGAAATTCAGTTTTTAAGTTATCGTTTTTTAATATTTCTAACTCATTTTTCAAAATTTTAACAGAAGTAGCAACTTTTTCAACATGGTAAAACTCTATAATATTAGAAATAAATGTTTCATTCTCAAAGTTATTCGAGTTATTTACTAAAAAGCACAAAAAATTAACTGATAACAATTGACCGATCGCCATGTTGTTGACATTTAATAAAGATTTAATAAATATAATCCTAATTGATTGTTTTTTTTTCAAAAGCTAAAAATTGTTGTACAGTGTTATTATATCTATAAACATGTGTTTATTTATTATTATAATAATATTTATTATTACGTCAAAAACGCAATCAGCAATAAATTAACTTTTCTCACCTTGCATCGACCTTGTCACAGTTCACTTCTATCCTATCTAGCCTTCTATCTGAAATCAGTTTTGTGATCAATTATTAGATTAAAAATATAATTATTTATTATCCTGAACATTTTTTTACTACTTCTATATCTATAAAAAACTTCTATTTATATAAAAATTATATAAATGTATTATATAAATTTTTTAAAACACGTATTCAAATGAAAATTACATTATTATTATTATCGTAAATTTATAAAGTGCTTAAATATAACAAAAATTTCTCAAAAACACTATCCGTTACAGTAAAATAATAAAATGAACGAATGGTTTAATGTTAATCATTTCAAATAAATTGATACCATTTATTTAAATGTCTAAGTACATGCCAGATTGATAAAATTGCAGTCAGATAAAACTAAACGTATAAATCATTAATGAAGCTTTAACAGGTTGAATTATTTATACATATGGGAACATATATATTATTAATAATTCAATAAAAATATCTCACAATAAAAAAAGTCCAAAATAAAGACAAAATACCTGAAATAAAATTAAAACGGAAATGGTGCATAATAATGAATCATCTCATAGACAAAACAACAACTAAATAAAGATCTTAATTTCTTTTTATTGTGTTGTTTCATTTTTCTAAAAGTTTACACTGAAACGTATAAAATTTTTGTATAATATAACCATATTATACAAAAATTCACTTTGTAATAAATTGCTCTAATGGATAAAGATGTGATGTATTTAACCACTAAAATTATGTTAAATAAAATTTTAAGAATTTTCAGCATTGAATATGGTTCAATGCATAGCGTCCCCTATTAAATTGTTTTTACCATAATTTTTTGTTCTTCTACTATAAAAATATTATATGTTTTAAATACTTATATTGGGTGAGTATTCAACCATTTTATCAACAAAATTTAATTAAAATTAAAGTCATGGATTAATGACTTCTTGTTCAATTTTTCGATTTTTCTAACGATAAACGGTAAGAACAGAAAAGATAAACTTGAAAAGGCCAGCGTTGTAAACAAAATGAAAAAGAAAGTTCAAATACCAAAGGACCTTATTAGTTAGAATATAACAGTGTTGAATTTTGTTTATTAAATTTTGTGTCTTAAATAAAATTATATTAATTGAATATAGTCTGAAACTGAAGTTCGTTTGTATCAGTACCACTGTTAAAATATTCGTGTGGAAGTAATTTTTGATGTTGCACGGTAGATTTTTTGTAACAAAATCTAAAAAAAATAATTTTTAGAAATCATAACTAATAGTAAACATTTTGCAATTAAGGCAATTATTTACCTGATAAGTTATTGAAATTTTGGGTGGCTAGTATATGATTAAAATACTGGAACGCCAACACCAGCATGTGCAGAAAAGAGTTTCATCCAACAAGATGATGCCTGGTGGCATCATCTTGTTGGATGATGAGTCAGGATTCCAACTTCAGTGAAGATGGTTGCTTAATTGGTTGATAAGTTAGTCAGTTTTATAGTTGTTTTTGTTTGTTAATTAGCGTTATTATTATTATTTAATCTTTATTATTTCTTTGTTATATAAACTTTACACTTTTATAGATTTTGCTTGTGATTCACTTACATAAATGTTTCATTTCAGAGTGCAATGATAAATTTAAAGAACTTAATAACATAGAGTCTGTACCAGATCTTATGATTTAATTAACAAAATTTATTTCTGGCTTGATTCTAGCGTTTTATGAAATTTTTCATCACCAAAACCATCGTAAATTGCCATGATGTTAGCTTATTTCTCGTCTGTATCATATCTATTAACTATCTATATAGTGTTAATCTTTGAAAGATAACTTTATGAACATGAAACTATCATCTGAAAACTCTGTGAAGAATCGTACTAATGTTGTTTTGCTGAAGTTTTTTTAACAAATTGTGGAGAATGCATTTCTATAATCTCAAATTGATGCCACTTCGTTTGTAGGTCAAGAATTTTTGATTGGACGTTCTGATTTTAGAGAAACTTTAAAAAGTGTTATAACTTTTAACCAGTCAAACTCGCATCAACTTCCTCCACGTTGTTTCCAGGCAGACGTACGTGCACATGCAAGTACACATCACCAGAGAGATACACTTTCACACAACACGCTCTAACTATATCACAACAACTGAGCTGTAAACTACTCTAATTTGTTCATTGAGATGTTCACATTTTGTCTAAATAATAGTATGAGTGATCGATTTATTTTAAAGGGTTTACTTTTAAATGTCCTCAAAAATCATTTTATTTGTAATAAATAAGGAGAAACTGCATCGCCATAAATCGTCATCCATTTGTTCAGCTGAACATCTGGAGTAATAACGAAGCAACAAAACTACGCATAACTCGGGGAAGAGCAACTAGAGACTCGTAAAAAATATCGCTCTGTATGCTACACCGGTCCTATCTACAACACAGTTCATCAACTTATCGCGTCATCAGACTTTTAGTTGCGTGCATGTGTCCTTCTCT